TAGGGAACGATTTGGTAGATAGCGCTGTTAATCTTCTTTTTCCCCATACTTTTGTTGGGAAAGAGAATTGGTATCGTTGAGGTGAATTTGGGGGAGAAAATTGTCTTTTGGTGATTAAGGGAACTTGGATAATTGGATCGTGTTAATATTATTAGTGAAATTTTCAGAGTTATGAGAAAGTAGTTTTTTGACAGTTAGAGATCACTTTGATAGTTGGATTAATATTATTATCGAAATTTTGTTAGATAAAGAAAATTGTTCCTAGATGATTCAGTCTTTCATATGTATACATATGAGCTGATACTAATAGTAAAATTTTACAAGCTACAAGTTACGAGTTACCAGCACTAATAAATTATCTAATAATAAAACAGTAATAACTTTAACAACGAAATAATTGAAAACCTTTAAATAAATTTTACAAATAACAAATATTAATTTTTACAGATTCTTTATATATTGTTATGAAAATTAATAATTTACAACTAGCCATTTCACAGACTAGTACCAATATTAGTTAATAAATTCTTGTGACATGTTATATAAAATATATTACTTCACTCTATTTTTACAGAAAGAAGTTAGCATAGGAGGCCAAGTTGTTATATGCCAGACAGGATCAACAAAGAACATTGTGTTCCTCTTTTAAACATTATGTAAAATAAAATTACTTGCTACCGTACAATAACAGTGTAACAAAACCTACGACTATATTTAAAACAGGTGAAAAGTAATTACTATACTACAACTGTTTCCATCTTGCTTACAACAATTACAACCTTCAGCTGAAAGCAGACCAACCCCTTCCGTAAACACGGAGATATTTTTAAAATATCTAATAATTTTCGAAGCAGAAATGATCAATTACAAAGTGTAACAACTAACCGGGACTTCCCCTATTAACATTGTCATGCCATCGGAAGTTTCATCATCACTGAAAAGGAAGTCAATAAAAGGAAGCTAAAATAATGGCTGAAGCATAACCGGTGGACCTCTACGTAACGTTGTAACGAACCTGAATATTAAAACTTATGGAAGCACACTGACCCACATTCCAAGGAACAGCCGCTACTTTCTCGTACATTACATTCTTTAAGATTCCTCACAGAGGACTGAAAGACTGAAAGGGAACGAAGAAGTCGACGAAGGGGTAGGTTGCTCGTGTGTCTCTTCCGCGTTCTATTCAACGAGTCCTCCACGTTTGTTAAATAAACCTCCCTCTGACGTTCCGGCTGCGTGAAATATGGGAATACTGGAAGCAAATATACATACGCGAATTTTTTCCCTCCCTTCGGCCTACATGGAAGACCGTGGCTCGCGGGTCAATTTTCTCAAGTCCTTTGTTACCGGCCTAGCACCTGGCCGACTCGCCTCTCTTGCATATTCTTATTCGTGCCTCACGTACGCGTACACAGGCACACGAAACACGTAGCTCGGGAACAATTAGGGTCTCGCGTTTTCAGACAATAATCCTGTGGGCTGTCAAATGTCGGAGACACGAGGAATTTTCGTTACTTGAGATTGTAAATTAGAATAATTATAATGTACTAATGATAACGTTAATAACGACTACAATTTATAATTTGTAGGCATGAGAATCGTTGAATCCAAGTTGAATTGGAATTTATTAGTAGACGCAAAATTTATATTCGTGGAAAACAAATATTTTATTCAATTTATTGCGTGTCTTAACAAAGAATAATAGTCTGGAAGAGTACTAAGTACCAAACATGAGAAATTTTTATTTTCGTCACGAAAAACTGAAACAGAATTTTATTCCAAATATTTTAATAAAAGAATAAAATATATAATACATTATATATATTATAGTAATTTATTAATATAGAATATAGAATTATTATAGATGCTAAAAGTACATAAGGCTCATTAAATTTCAAGGAAAGGTTTGTCGCAAATAAAATTGTAACAAGCAATTTTATTCCGAGTGCCGCGAATTTATTGTTCCTGTTAACAGGATTAGGAGCTCGGCGAGGGGATTGTTTGAGATTAATATTGAAATAACAATTTTTTAAAATGTACGTCAGCGATGCATTAAAAAGGCTGGGGATTGTACGTGGAAAATATCGCGTTACTAAATGTGCGCAATATATAAATACACGTATTTTTGATAAATTTTCCCAGAGTCCATTTCGCATAAGTCTCTTGCGCTTTTTCCGACTCGCCAATGAAACTTTGAAAACAGTGGTAACGAGAATATTAAAAATGGAATTCCCCAGGAATAGTCTCCGCGATTACCAAACAATTTCACCATTCGTAAAGCGAATATTAAAAAAGATGAAACTGAAATACATAGAATATCCATTATCGAGGATGAGCCCCCAAACAATACTCCGTTTCATTATATTCCTTGGAAATTGCAATTTACATTCAAAAATTGAATTCCTTGCCCGGCAATAAAACCATTTATTCGCGCGGCGTCCCATCAGATTACGAGATTAAGCAGATTCCCTTAAAACCGAGGCTGCGAACTGTAATTCCAAACAAAATTCCACCACTAACCTCCATCTCTATGGTCGGCTAGTCCCGGACCAGCTGGCGATAAATTCCCCGATACTACCATACTAGCCCCGAGCGTTAAGCTCGCGCTATTTATCAGGCAAGCCTCTCCGTCGTTAACAAAGTTCCATCCGTAGGACCCAGAGACCATCCAGCTAGCCGGCACCTATACCGAAACATCGTGGACCAAGCATGGACCTATGGGATATCAAGAAGGAAGAGGAAGAATTCCATCGACAGCTGACAGTCGCAGCTGTCAATCGGTTGACTAGACCTAGCGTCGAAACGGGGGCACGAAAATAGTCGGCCGGAAAGGTTTCCGTAAATTCTGAGCGAAACAACGGGCAAAAGGGATCGAGAGATAGCGGCGGCGGGTTGAGGCAGACAGGCAGGCAGGCAGGCAGGCAAGTAGGGCAGAGGGAGCAGGTTTTCGTTTGCGGTTGAAAGAGCTGCCAGTAAAGAGAAAAAGCCGCTCTCTCACTCTCCCTCGTTGGGTAGGTCGAGAGGGGTTGAAAATTCGCGCAGGCGTTTCCACTACCGTCCACCGTGGCGCCTCGAAGCTCCTCGCAGCCCCACGGCTCACCCCGTCAACCGTTTCCCCCACCTCGTGCGCCGCTCACCCCCGAAAGCGTCGGCGACTCGGCGCTGCTCGTTGCGCCTCGGTCAATCCGCGACTAGTATGGCGCTGCGCGCTCCGACACGCCACCGTACGTAGCGTGCTTCGTTAATCGACGGAAGATCGCGCACCGTGATTACACGCTGAGGAAAGTTGAAACGTGCGCGAATCCCTGAGCTCAAGTAACAGTCGAAGATTGAACGGTGAGAGAGCTCGAGACCTAGTGAAGCTGAGCCGTGATCCTCATTGAGGGGAACGAAAGAGAGAAAAGTAGGAAAGAAGCTACCCGTCGCGAGGATTCTTGTTTTCCAAGTGTCCGTCTGATCCTGACGGATGAGAGCCCAGTGACAGGAGACTGAGAAAGACGCGAGCAGTGAGACTGACGTGGCTGCAGCTAGTTAGGGGTAGCTAGTATGTAACCGCGTGCACCGAGTCTGATTCCGGTGACTAGTTCGCTGAGGACGCCGGGTGCTTAAGTGGCGATTGCATTGCGGTGACACGAACTGCGATAAGCACGTCAGACCAGGCCAGTAATAAGTGAGTTTCACTTGCAGTGAGATGATAGCGTCCTCAACCGCCGTCTGGTACACGAGGCCGGACGGTAACCGCGGCAGGTGTCTGACCCGGCACGAGCTCTAGGGCAACGATACGAGTGGATCGGCCGACACGAGGACCAGGCAGGGCAGAGTGGAGCAAACGTTGGAATCAGTTGTTTCTTTAAACGAACATTCGAATCGGAGAAACGGGATAAATAGAAAGCAGGTGGTAGAAAGAACAGCTGAAGGGGGATAGACAGGAATCTCTGTCACTTGCACAGCTGATCGCCGATAAACATGAGAGTGCTGAGTAACGCGACTTTGTTCCTTTAATGCGACCAGACGATCGAATCATCCTCGTGTGCTAGAGTTCTTCTCGTGGCCACGATTCGCTGACAGCAAGACGGTTCACTGACAACAACATGGCATGTCCTTTCGCGCGAGGTATCTTGAAGGCGAGCTGTGACGAGGCAGAGGACAATGGGCGACAAAGGATCAGCAAATTGGGACGAGACGACGGTGGCAAGTCCAGACAGTCGTCGTTTGAGTTCACGTCGTTGCTAATGGGAGAAGAAACCGAGGACGCAGAGGACACGCAGACCCTGAACCTCAAACACCTGACGGAAGCTGTGCTGGTGCTGACAAACCCACCGGTATCGTGCTCACGTACTCCTATTTTACGCTTCTTTTCATGGGTTATAGTCGATCAAATGAAGGGATTACAGCTCCTTATTCCGCGAGACATCAGCGAATTACGGGATTTTGATAAGAATCTTCACACTGGGTCTTGGTATCAGGTCTTGTAATTTGATCGTGATATTAGGTCTTGTAATTTGATCGTGATATTAGGTCTTGATATCAGGCCTTGATAATTGGGTCCAGATATTGAGCCTTGGTGTCAAGACTTGATATTGGGCTTAGGTATTGGGTCTTGGTATTAGTTCTTGGTATTTGGGTCTTAATATTGAGTCATGGTATCAGTTCTTTGTATTGAATCCCGAAAGTGAGCCTTGGTATCAAGTCTTGATATTGGGTCTTGGTATTGGGTTTTGATATGAAGTCTTGGCATCAGCTTTTGGTATTTGGGTCTTGATATTGAGTGTCCGTATTGGGCCTTGGCAATTGGGCCCTGATATTGAATCACGGTAACAGCTCTTTGTATTGGGTCTTGACATTAAGTCTTGGTATTGAGTCCTGGTATGAGATCTTGGTATTTGGGCCTTGATATTGAGCCTTGGTATCAGGCCTTGGTAATTGCGCCCTGACATTAAGCCTTGACATTGAGTTTTGGTATGAGGCCTTGGTATTTGGGCCTTGATATTGAGACTTCTTATCAGGCCTTGATAATTTGGCCCTGACATTAATTCTTGATATTGGGTCTTGGTCTTTGTAATTAGGTTTTGATATTGGGTCTTGATATCAGCCCTTGATAATTGAATCTTGATATTGAGTTCTCGTATCAGACCTTGGTATTTGGGTCCTGATATCGAGTCATGTTTTCATTTTTGGTATTGGGTCTTAATATTGAACCTTGGTATCGGTTCTTGGTATTGGGTTATTGTTCTTTTTCAAGCTGGTTAGTCTAGGAGGAATAAAAGACTCGAGAAAGTTACTAGAGGCGCACAACGGAACATTGGAACGAAGTTTCGTCCAGTTTGGTTTGGAAAGATAAGGAGAATGGTAATTTATGCGACTTCCGTCTTTGTCAAGTTTGTCGTCTTTCGATCAATTTTTCATGAAACTCGGGAATTCAATTCTCTCAGGCTATCTTTTTTCATCTCTCGGTTCTAGCGTACAATTATTGCATCGAAGACGCGCAACTTCGGGGAGCATATGGGGTATATACGTGAATTTTTGTAAGTTGTAGGCATACGATTCACAGATTGATGGAATTCGTTGATTGGAGCAGAGAATTCTTCTCACAAATATATAGTAGGGTGAAGAGGTTCGTGGGGTGGGAATTCTTAGCCTTTGTTTTCGAGAAAGGGTATCGCAGCTGAACAGCGTAGAAGTTCGAGTTATTTATAGCTGTTCCTTACTTCAACTTCTTTCAATTCCATTGAATCGATTTTTTTCCTTTTCATCCCTAAAATTCTCCGTAAACTGAAATTTCCGTGAGTAGTATACATTTTCGTGTAAAATATATTTAAGAGCATATAAGTATAGGGAAAATGAGTTAATAACAAATTTCTATAATATTTGCTATATTATTAATAATAATTTTTAATATATTTTACAATAATGTGATAATAATAATTACAATATTATTAGTACTGCATACAATTAATCTCTATTTTATTAATAGTATTTGGAATACATGAAAATATCATTAATTTTGAAAACTGAATGTTTCCCATAATTTACCATTTAGTCTTTGCCTCTCTTTTATCATTGCAAGATACTGCATGCTGTCCCAAAGCTCTTACACAGACACCACACACTAAAGCACCACTGAACAGCACATATCACCATTATCTTTGATTTATATCATTTTTTCATATCTCCCTACATAAACCATATTTTTAGCCGTTCCTACACGAAGTACAGAAGTGCAAAAGAATTGTTCGAAAATACCAATATTATTATACTTTTGAAAACGAATCGCTTTTACATATACAATCCCTTCTGGAAATCAATTTTTGTACGTCGCTGCATTATAAATGATTCAAATGATGGACGCTCGATTGCAGTCATGCGCTTTTGCAATAAATTTCGTAGGAACCCAAATACAAGAACATCAGTGATATTTCGTCGTCAATGACGTGTATGACAACGTCAAATTAAATAAATCAATTACATATACCGTAACTCAACTTCAACAAATATTTTAAGCACTTTGTAAAAGTCGTGATTTATTAATATTCAATTCCAGAAATATGGAAAGTACTATATTCGAATTATAAAAGTGTATTTGCCAAAATTTTCGCATAAAGATTATTCTATTCGTATTTGCAATTTATCCCAGGAAAAAAGTTAACCATTTGAAATATTCAAAGTCACTTTAATATTTTAATGAATTCTCGTGGAAAATAATTTACAAGGAAATCATTAAATATTGATTTATTCGAATGGTCATTGTTATGGAAAATAAATATCGCATAATTCAATTTTTAAGACTCAGATACAAATAGATGCGTTTCTAACATCCAAGTCACATAACCTCAAAAGTGGAAACTTTAGGAAAATAGTATTAGAATCCGGCATAAAAACAAGGTTAAAGACATACCAACCTCTAAAAACCTTGTATAAACAATCTTTCCTCAAAAATAAATTAAACGAAACTTCCGTCACTTCTTCCAAACCCTCAGAAGAAACTCGAAGCTTCTTGCTTTTGGCCATCAACGCCATCGTCGCCCACCCCTATTCGGGAAAAAGGAACCCATCCTAATCGATCGAGACTTTGTCCATATTAACCGCGAGATCACCTGATCTTTTGATGATTCAAATACGAGGTGGGAAACTGTTTCGTTATTAGAGACGATAAGACCACCGAGATCGTTCCTGAAGAAATACAGCCAACGTGGCTACTCGTAACACAAATTAGAATTTTTGCTCGCCGGAGAATTGGGTCGGAAATGTGCAATAAACGTGTACATATGGCACTTCCTGTTTCACTGGTGGCCGCGAAAACGCCTGGCGAAGTTTCGTGGCGGAATCCCGGCGTCGATTACTCCGTGGTGGGGCGTGCCAGTCGACACGTCGCTCCTGCGAGTACGCGGGGAAATCTTTCTTGCGGCGCTCGTCGACGGTCGAATGATGGACGAGCGGGCGTTCGACAGGTTTTGCGAATTCCTCGTGTCTCCGAGTTCCGCTCTTGCGAATACTTGCGAATTAATTTGAGAATGGTCTTCATTGAAATAGTCACGACTATCCATCGAAGGTAGAATCGTTTTTAGATTAGCTGAATTTTCTTGTCGCGCGTTATCTTTTGCCCAAGGAATATTCTCATCTCGTTCCCTTCACGTTATTCGCATTATTTTAATCACTGTACTTGTTATACTTTTACTTAGGTCGGCTTTGGTCTCTAGGGTTCTGCAACTTCCTAACCTCTAAAGTCACTCTGTGCGTTATTTATCAAGACAAAACGTGACACAACACTATTAAAAGTAACTACAATTTTTTTTGATAGAATGGATTGTGAATAGTAATAAAAGAGGTAAGGATTATCATAATTGAGAATTAAATACTATTTGTTGAGAAAATATTCAGGCATACGTGTAATTGGATTTTCAAGAATTGAGGAAGCTATGAGAAGTAAAATTCCAAAAGGGTATTAGATAATAAAGAATGACAAAATCGGATGTTATTATTAACGAGACAATTTTCGAAGTGCCAAAATTTACTCGAATAAGGACTCTGGTTTCGAAGGACAGGAGTAAATTAACATTTGCATGACAAAGTCTTACCTGATATCTTATAATTCCAATTCTGAAACGAGATTAATGTCAAAATAATATTTATCCAGGCCTAACGAAGTTAGTATCAATTAAGATGCAGGCATTTGTATAATCACGAAGCACTGTTTACTCCCCTTATCATAACTTTATCCCACCGAAATGGCCCCATGACTACACGTTTACTCCATCGACGATTGACTTTCTTTACTGTATTCCGTCATCTCGACAAGATAACGATTACGACCGGAACAATTTCGAAAAAGTGGCGCCATAAACTGGCTTTAAACCCTCGTTTCAAACCGAACCGACGAACCTCGTCATATAACTCAAAATATCAACTACGACCAGACAAATCCCACCAACATATCACTGATCTCGAATAGGAATTGAAAAAACGATCTCTTAGTTCGCCCTCGACTCCAGCAACGGCTCAATCCCCATTAATGATCCAGATCGCTAGATCTCGATGTCGGAAGATTTGTCTGAGCATCAGCTTTTAACGCGAACATTGGAACACGGTGGAATCTCAGCAAGAATGCAAGAAGAATAGTCCATCGTCTTTCGAGACGAACCATCGGGTTTTTTACCCACCCTCGGTCCGTGTCATGAAACTCCCATTAGTCTCAGGCGCATCAATCCTGGAGGGATCGATTCACCGTCCTCATAGGAAATCTCGGATAACGCGGCAACATTTAACATTCGTGAGACGATCAGGCGTTTCTCAACGGTTCGTTTCTTGTTTGGTCACGAGCAGAGAGGGGGTGAGTAATGCGAGCTAACATGTAATATGAATTTCAAATCAGAGGCGTCCCGTTTGCTAAAATCGCTCATATTGCCCTATACGTTTCAGGCTACAACCTCTCAATTCGAATTTGATACCTCGAACTTTGCCCGTGGGCAAAATTTACATACCGAGTGCCTGCCGAGTTTTCAACGGACCAGGAATTCGTGTCCGATTCCAGGAATCCTGCAAGCCTAGGACACGTTGCGCCTAGAAGAGCACAGACCTGCCATAAGCAAATTCCATTCCCGAATCTGCGAGAGGTTTCCAAGTTGCCTCCGATTATGGCGTTTAGTCTCACTCTTTAACGTCTTCGGGATTACGTTCTATTCGTATACTACAATAACACTCCGCTGTAAGGTTTCGCTATTGTATCGTTCTCTTCTCTGAAAAACTCTCAAGAGGCTCTAAAAAGGCACGGTTCCCAAACAGCTCTGTTCCACAAAGCCTCGCTTTCCTCTTTTCTCTTGCATCA